TGATGAATAAAGCACTGTGACCAATGAGGCAGGAAGACAGGCAGGTCTAGGAGAGAAGGAGGATTCTGGGATGTATAAGCAGAGTCATTCACCATGTAAGCTGCTGGAGGAGTACCACCATGCCAGGAATTACTGGGTAAGCCACAACCTCATGACAATACATAGATTGATAGAAATGGGTCAAGAATTAAGACAGAGCTAGCCAATAATAAGCCCAAGCCATCAGCCAACAGTTTCATAATTAATATAGCATTCATGTATTTACTTGGGGGGTTACAAGGGGGCTGCAGAACCAGGAAGGAAATTCCATAACATGGACACATACCTAACCACAGGGAGAAAGACACATACAACTGGAGTGAGTACTACAAGCCTAGGAACTGCCAGAAGTCAGAAGGTCCCCTGCAGTAGAGGGCAGCTTCCTCTCTAGTGTGTGCAAGGCATTCTCCTATTGAATGTATTTACATGTCACATGTGTGAAACATACTGATTTTTTACATTAGCCTATAGATTGTTACTGAAATGAGAAGCACAAATAATAAAATGAAAATAACTTTATTTTTGAGACAGAGTCTCCTCCTTTGTGGCCTAGGAAGAACTCATGTGCCTCTTGTCTTATCTTCCAAAGTTCTTGAATCACAAGCTTGTGCCACGACACTTGTCATATGCTTTACTTTATAATAGTAAAAGTATTTAATGAAAATTAATAAATTCTCAAAAGTGAGATAGAGGACAGAAAACTATTGAAACAATTAAAAGATAATTGATATCTGTCTTCCATGATAACAGCACGAAGATAAGCATTTGTAAAATGCATGTGAGCTGTAACATAGAAGCATTTTGTGTACCATAGAAAACCCATGGTTCGAATCTGTCACTGAAAGAATATTCCCAATGATGCTCCCAGCAATGGCTTTGGATAGATCCTTAGGCAGTGCATACTGTTTCATGAACTGGTCAAATGAGGTTACCTTGATGGACCACTTAAGTTTGATGCTATAACCCCTCAGTAATACACTGGAGATACCGACTAAATGCTGTGGAAGAAGCTAAATTAAATGTAAACAAGACGCGGAATTCAATAGAAGAGTGAAGTAAAACACAGTCTTAAGAAATATTGCATTGCATATGGGAGTCAAACTTGTTTAGCCATTATGCAAATGAGTATGGCAGTTCTTCCTGAGGATGGGAATTAATCTACCTCAAGTTCCAGCTGTATCCCTGTAGGACTTATACCAAAAGGGCAATGCATCCTACCACAAAGACACTTGCTCAGCCGTGCTCATTGCTGCTGTGTTTAGAGTAGCCAAGATCTGGGAACAATATCGATGGCCCTCAACAGAGGAATAGATAAAGAAAATACCATACACTTACACAATGATGTATTTCTCAGCCATTAAAAAAAATGACATCATGAAATTTGCAGGCAAAAGCATGGAACTAGGAAAAAAATCATCCTGACTGAGGTATTCCAGACTCAGAAAGAAAAATATAGAAATACGGTATGTACACTTACATGTAGATATTAGCTGCTAAGCCAATGATAACCAAAGTACACTACATAGAACTGTAGAGGTTAGGAATGGAGTAAGGGATTAAAGGATACAGAGAGGTCTTGTTAGGTAATAAATGGGTGGTTTTGGAGGGATGACTATGAGTGAGTGGGAATGCTGGAATAGGAGGGTGAAGTGGGGAGAAAAAGGGAGTAAGAAGACAGACAGCTAAAAATAAAAACCATTTGAGGACTAGTATGGGAGAGGGACCAGGCCCTGGCCCAACCTATTGTGTCAGACTATGTTGACTCCTCATGGGAGCCCTAACTCTTGAGGGGAAGTGGACTGGGGGTGGGCTGGGGGGGAGTGGCGAGGGGTGGTGGGAAGAGGCGAGGGGGACCGGGAGGAAGCGTGGGAGGGATTACTGTGGTTGGAATGAAAAATGAAATTTTGGAATATAAGATGAAATTTAAAAATTAAAAAATATTTCTTTGCTACTTAATAACTAATTTTGCTGCTACTAACGAAACGTAGTATAAATATCTGATATGCAGGATATGGTCGCAACCCACACAGGTTGAGAACCACAGCCCCCTGAGCATAATTAAAATCTTACCAGCTCAGCTTGAGTGCACTGCTTCCCCGTGATCTCATGTACAACTTTTTGCAAACACCTAGACACATTCTTCCTTGCTCTGAACTTTCTCAGCTCACAATGGCTGGGACTGTGAGGCTGCTGCAGGTTTTGCTGATGAGTTGTAACCGTCAAGGTGGCACAGACTAGAATCACTTGGAAAAGGAGTGCTAATGAGGAATTAATTAGATCAGGTTGGTGGTGCCATATCTGTGGGGCATTATTTGATTGTTAATGGCCCAGATCAGTATTCTATAGGCAGGGCATCTTGAACAGCATAAGACAGGAGAAAGCTAACTTAGAGTAAGCAGCATGTGAGTGTCTAGTTCTCTCTGCCCTGGATGTGGATATGCAGTTTCTGCCTTGGTGATGGACTGTAACCCACTGTAAGGCAAATACAGCCCTTCTTTCCATAGGTATCTTTTGCTAGGTATAGGCATGTTGTCACAGAAGCAGATATGAAACCAGAACATGGGTGAAGTATGACGCTGAGCTACCGTCTAGTTCACTAATCCCACTGACCTCCCTGGGACGCTGAGTTAAGAGGTTAGGGTGGTCTTGGGAAAAGTATGTTTCCTCATCCTCTAGGACAGTCATCTTTGATCCACTCATCATTCCTAAATCAAATTGCCAGGAGACAAGTATATTTTAGGAGTAAAACTCAAGCGGGCAAACTATGTTCTGGCTTCTTTGAAAAATGTATTTTTGAAGGTATATTTGAAAGTTTTTGAAAAATATGTTCAATTCTTTCTATTCTAAAATACTGGGAGTCTATGTAATGCTAAACAAGACTGGAGTTCACCTAAGTTATAGTGTACAGTTAGTAAGTCGTGAAGGTTAGAGTGTGCTCCAAAAGAAAGATGTGACGAATAAATTGTTAAATGTTGCTCCTATAAAAATATTTTTTTGGAACTTGGAAGATGGGTCTGTGAGAAAAGAGCACTTGCTTTTGCAAGCATGAGAGCCTGAGTTTGAATCCCAGCAGCCACAGAGAAGCTGAGCATGACTCCACATACCTGTAACCCCAGCATGAGGTTGCATGCTGGAGATGATCTGAGAGCCAGATCAGAAATAATAAGCTTCTAATTGAGTAAAAGATTCTGTCTCAAGCCAATAAAGCTACAGAAAACACCAGGCATCCTTCTCTGGCCTACACTGGTGAGCACACAGGAGTAGATATACCAGTGCACTCACATGCACCACACACACACACACACACACACACACACACACACACACACACATTTTGCAGAACATATTTTTTCATCTTTATTTCATTATGTCCCCGATGTTAAAATTTTTCACATAATTTGGAGTTTTACTGACAGAAAAGCCAAACTAAGAGAATTTTTTTGAATTATTGTAATTCCTAGTATATTTAATTAATTCTAATTCAGAAAAATGTACCTCTTTTGGGGCAGCAGCAATTGAAACTGTCAAGGAATATTTTGAGCAATATTTAGATCCAGAAATTCATCATTATTTTATGTCGTGTTGAAATATTTTAATGCGATCACATGCAATAAATTATCACAGAAGATGTCATCCAATATCTCAGTTTTACCACAGAAGGCACAAGAACATTGTCATTGTGTCATTTTTATGTGAATTATTCTATCATACAATATTTTTGGTTTTATTTTATTTTTTATTGAAAATAGATTATTTTCTCAAACAATATATCCTGATTATGGTTTCCCCTCCGTCTACTCAGTTCTCCATCTCCCCTCCCATCTGTATCCACTCCCTTTCTGTCTCTCATTAGGAAAAAAACAGGCTTTTAAGAGATACCAATAAAACATAACAAAATAAAATATAATAAGATAAAACAAAGCTATCACACTGATATTAGATAAGGAAAACCAACAGAAGGAAAACAATCAGGAATTCAATTAAAAACATTAAACTGGAAGCTGTAATATATAAGCAGAGGACCTGTGCAGATTTGTGCAGTCCTGTGCAAGATCCTTCAGTCTCTGTGAGTTCATGCGAGCTTTTGCCCATGTTGATTTAGAGGGACTTGTTTTCTTGGTGTCCTCCATCTCCTCTGGCCCTTACATTCTTTCAGCCTCCTCTTCTGTGAGATTTTCTGAGCTCTGAGGGGAGGGATTTCATTGAGACATCCCATTTAAGGCTGACTGTTCCAAGGTCTCTCTGCATAATGTGTGGCTGTGGGTCTCTGTATTTGTTCTCATCTTTGATGGCGGCTGAACAAGGCACTAATCTGTGAGTGTAGCAGAGTATCATTAGGAGTCACTTTATCACTACATTTTCCTTCCTTCTTTTTTTTTTGACAGCATCATTTAGTTTTACCCTAGGTTATTGGGATATCTACTCTCTGGTTCTTTTCTGCCCAAGGAGTATCAGAATGGCATCCCACCACAGGGAATGGGCTCCAACAAGCTAGCTCATGTACTGGGATTATATCATGGTCCTACTGCCACTGAGCATGGGATTCCACTCTAAGGAATGGACTCCAACAAGCTAGCTCATGTACCAGGTTTATATTGTGGTCCTACTTCCAGGACCCCTCAACTAGTCCAAGCTTCACATACAGAGGGCCTAGTTCAGTCTCCTGGAATCTACACAGTTGTAGGTGTAATGTCCATGAGTTTCCACATGCTTGGTTCAGCTTTCTCTGTAGATATCTCCATCATGGTCTTGACCTCCCTTGCTCATATATTGAATCCACAAGGAGTACCCCCCAGATAAGACTCCTAGCAACAGTGGAGAGGATGCCTGAACTGGCCTACCTCTGTAATCAGATTGATGAATACCCCAACTATCATCATAGAGTCTTCATCTAGTAATTGATGAGGCCAGAATCAGAGATCCACAACCAAGAACCAGGCTGATCTCTGAGAATCCAGGCAAAGAGAGGGAGGAACAAAGAAATAACTTTGTGGCTGGAGGCCACCACAACATGAAGAATTGTTTTAAAGGGTCGCAGCATTAAGACGGTTCAAAACCACTGCTCTGGGGTCTATGTAGGAGAAAATGTTTGGTAGTAATGTGTTCTTAAGCCCTTCAGGGATTGAGAAAAATCATGGACTTCTTTCCCTCCTCTCTTCTCTTGGCCTATGGCTGGATTTCTCTCATTTGAATATCATGGTATAAGCATCTTGATAAGAATGGAGATGTTTTACAAGAGTCACTTGTGCACACCCCCCCAACCCCCGCTGTGGCTGTGAGGGTATTAAAACAATGTTCCCTAAGGACTTGGATTTTACCTGGAAATCTCATGCTGGGAGAAGGAAAAGTCTGAAGGCTGCTGCCAACTTGAGGTGAAATCTATCTTTCAAGAGGAGATTTCATGCATTTCTTTTTTTTTTCAAGAGAGATGGACAGCAAAGACAGACCTTCCAATCAAGCTGACAAATGCGTAGCCCAGGCTGGCCTCAAACTCGTGATCCTCCTGCTTGTGCCTCCTTCAGCAAATCCTATCGTGTGTGCCACCACAACCAGCCATGCATTTCTTACAATTTCTCACACTGTCTTGCAACAGAGAATGGAGCACAGGCAATGATGATGGATCATACCACATCTTGACCAGGGCTGCTTAGCTATGCATTATTCCTGCTTAGCTAAACCTCTCCTTAGGATCACAAAGGGAGTGGTGGGACTCACTAAACCACCTCCTCCTCCTAGTGTAGAAGCATTGAAGGAAACTCCTTCTGCTGCTTTTCACCAGTTTTTATTAGCCGACAGAAGACTTATTGGTGGTCCAGTCTAGCTCGTGATGGCTCCTGAGGCTTCAGGCTGTGGCAATTTCAGTAGCAATGGCTCAGGTGTAATACCATCGGCAGGCAGAAGACTGGGAAGAATTAAACACATGATTATGAATAGTCCTCACTGCTCCAGTAGGTAAAGATGCTGCAGTCTCCTGTTTAACCATTGCTCAGTCACGCAAAACTTCCCCTTATAGACATTTTCCTCTTTTATGTCGTTCCACACTCCAGGTTTTACTATAATTTGAAAACAGATAACATAAGTCCTAAAGAAATGGTTATTTTACAATCTTTTATTGTTGACTATCTGGGGAACTATCCATACCTGGACCGGTGGTAGAGTTGCATGGTGGGTTACTTTAATCTTATTTACCTGTTTTTCTGAGAATTTCACACATGTGTGTGATATATTTTGATCATATCCACCCCGCCCCTTCATCTGGCTTTGCCCATATTCACCTTCCCAACTCCCTGCTCAATTTCATATCCTCATCATTTTTTTTCTGTTTATTTTGTAATCCATTGTATCCAGCAGGTGCTGCCAATGTATACATGGGTCTAATCCATCCACTGAAGCATGGGCAACCTTCAGGTAACATCCCTGAAGAAAGTTGAATCTTCATCCTCCAGATACCATCAATTGTCAAGTCCTTTCACGTAGGGATGAGGCCTAGGAATCCCCTTCTCCATCCATGTTGGTATGCTAATTGTCCTAATCTTCTACCTGGCTTGTTGAGTCATTCACAGCTGCTTTGACAAATTCATGAACATAATGGCCCAGCCATGTCCAGGAAACACTGTTTTATTCCAGTCCTTCCCAGCCTCTAGCTCTTACAGTCTTTCTGCTCTCTCTTTCTGTTTCCTGAGCCTTGGAGGAGGGGTGATATATACATGTCCACTGAGAGCAGACCACTCTACAGTCACCTATCCTACACTTCGATCGGTTGTGAGTCTCTGTGCTAACTAACCACTGTCCACTGCAATAATACACTTTTCCAATGAGGCGTGAGGATTGCATTGATCTATGGGTATATGGATAAGCATTCAGGTTAGAAGACAGCTGACACCATGCCAGCTCTGTGAAATAGCAGAAATAGCAGGAGTGGATTCTTCCCCTAGTAGTAGGTTCTTCCCTGTCTCTTGTCATGAGTGATTGATCAGGTTTCCTAGATCAGGTGTGCATTTCTGCTGATGCTGCAGGGCTTAAATCCAATCTAAAGGGTTTGTTTTTGAAGGATATTCACTCTGAGAAAAAAAAAGACAAGAAGGTCCCTCTGGATTGCGTTCATCCTGGGTAGAGCAATGATATTTTGCAATAAGGAACACCCTCCCATTCATGCATCCTAAATGAAACCCAAGCTCAAGCCAGGCTGCCCATCCCATCCAGGGCCATCCCTGTTGCCAGTGGAGAGAGGCTTTGATGGAACTGTTCATTTGAAGGCTCCTGGCTCGGGTTTCACAAGAGCAGCTGCTGTTGTTTGGACATCTGAAACCTTTGAGCATTGTCCGTGAGATTATCCATCAGGCTTACACGGGAAGCTCTATGTTCTTATTCAGGAGATAAAAGAGCATTGGGAGGGAAAAGCTAGAAAGAACAAGACCGAGAACAAGGCAGACATCCGGGGTCTTGGAGGGCAGAAAGAGGAACATGTTTTAATGTGAAAAGGGAAGGAACCCTCTCAAATGAGTGTGCATTCAGACAAATATTTATTGCAGGAGTGTCTGCGATAATACCTGGCTCAAATGAGGGTCAGGAGCCCGAGAGAGAGAGAGAGAGAGAGAGAGAGAGAGAGAGAGAGAGAGAGAGAGAGAGAGAGAGAGAGAGAGAGAGAGAGTTGTGTGAAAGAGAGGCGTTTCCCTCCTGCCAGAGCTGGAAAGGTGAGCTAGAACACAGAAACTACTATTGAATATTAATGGTGTTAACCAGGGGGGTGAAAGGCATGGGTGCCTATGAGTGCATACATGAATATGAATGCTCGCACATGCCTTCCAGTGCTCGCACACACACACACACACACACACACACACACACACACACACAGCTCAAATACAGAGAGCTTATAGGTTAAAAAATAGACATGCAAATAATGCTTTTAACTCTCAACCAAAACTAAGAAAAAGAAATTCTATTCTTATTTTATGTGTATGGGTGTTTTGCCTGTATGTATGTATGGTACCTGCATAGGCCTGCAAAGGGTATCAGAGACCGTGGAACTGGAGTTACAAACAGTTGTGAGTCAACATGTGTGTGCTGGGAGTTGAACACTTGCCTTCTGGAAGAGCAGCCAGTGCTCTTAACTACAGAGCCATCTCTCCAGCCCAAACTTCTAAACTTTTTCTAGTAACAACTAATTTGTTCAAGTGCATGAGAGTGATATGAAATGTCTAATCAAGTTATAAGTATAAATTAATACATAGCATATAATTCTCTAGTCCTTTATGTATTTTTCCTGGAGTTGTGGGGAGACGAGCTGTGACAGAAAGCCCCAGAGAAACAACTTCCTGTTGCTGCATATTAAAAATAGTGAAGTAAATTGCATGTTCTTTTAGTGTCCCAAAACACAGGACAACCAATTGACCGGCAGCTTATGATCTGAGAGCATTAAGGCTTCAATTCTGTGGCATTACATTTTAAATTAAGGGATTTTTTATCTAAAAGAGATGCGAATAATTTCTGTCAAGTGGAAAACTTAATTGCAGAGTCTAGGTTACTAGTCTTAGGACTATCCTCGAAAAATACATTTTAAAGTGGCTTGCCAAGGCAAAAACTTATTTCTGATTAAAGGTGCGTGCCACTCACAGATGCAGAGGAGCAAGCCTCTTGTCCTACCCAGACATCTTATTTTATTCTTCAAAATATTTCAATTGAAATACACTTACATAACTTTATCCCTACTTTCTTCCCTCCAATCCCTTCCATAGCCCTACTCTCAAGTTGATAGCCCTTTTTCTTTGATCAATATTGTTATATATACACACACATATATATACATGCACACACGCAAATGTATATATGTATATGTATAACTATATACATACAACCTTCTGAGTCTAGCTTTATGATTATGATACAAAACGGGACTCATTCCAGGGAGGGGCTCATTTTCCTTCCCCTAGCGGTCATTAGGTTCCTGTATTTCTTTTTCCATGTTACTTTATCTATAGATATTGCCATTGTTCTGGCCTTGTTTACCTGGCCATTTCTAGGAGGGCCTGATCCACAAAAGATTTCCTGGTATTCTAGCTCTTATAATCTTTCCACCCTGTTATTCCTAGAAATTATTTTATGTAGTATGTAGTGGCATCTTGTTTCACCATGCACTTTTGGTAGAGGGCGTGGCTTCAGGTGTGCAGACGTGACCCCTTTAACGGAAGAGGAGGGGTTGACTGGCTCTCTTGGGCGGTAGTAGAACTCCAGAAGGGCAGAGACTGCGCCTTTCAGGAGCAGGAAGACCGCGGCCGTTATTCACTATCAATTGTGTGAGCACTTCTCTAATAAATACCTGTTCATCATTTATCCTGCGTCTTGTGGACTCATTTAAATCTCACCTTCAAAAGTACGAGTGATTAAGGATCGCATTCCATCCCAAATAGCAAGACTCTGAGAAAAAAAAGAATGTTTTCTTATGGATGAAGGAGTTTATGCCCCTTTTCTCTGTGAATAGAAAGCTCAGGAAAAACAATTCCGACCCAACGAATTGGGTGATGGATCAACAAGGTGCAAAACATGTTTCTGCATTGATCTCCTCCGCCTGCAGTTTTCATTTTCAAAGCGTTGTTTTTTTTGTGACTGTAATATGAGTGTTCATTCTGAAGTTTGAAGTTTATAATCCAGTAGAGTGACCCGCAAAGCTGAAGGGGTAGAGGATGAATACAGTTTAACTAAATGAGACTCCTTTTAAAGGGCTTCCCGGAATTTCCTCTTAGCATCTCTTAGTAACACCTTCTGAGGGACAGAGTTGTGACACACAACCCCGTAGTTTCAGGGCAGAACTGGAAGCACCTAGTTCTCTTGAATTAAACCAGATTCTCTTAAGGATGAAAAGAGGAAAGTGTAGGGTAGGGATGTAGACATATCCACCATACCTTTTATCATTTCTATTTTGATAATTTTCTTTGAGCCCTGATTTATTTCTCAACATTTATAAACAATCAACAAAGAGATAAATATTCATATGACATTATTTGAAGTCAGATGGTGCTAGACATCGGGACAAATAAAGTGGAGGATGGAGAACAGCCTAAACTATCAGGTATATTAGACATGCTGGAATTGAAGCCTAATCATGCGGTTTACTGACTGTAACACCTCTTACAAATTTGTCTTAGTGTTATCACCAAAACAAAGATAAAAGAATGTCATTTGCTAAGGTGAGTTCTTTAGAAAACAGATACCATGACAGTCACATGTTAATATGCTTATAAGTTCCAGTGTCCAGAAGGCAGGCCTGAGATGAAATGAAAATAAGAATTTTCAATGCCGTTGTAAGTAATGTTATAATGCATTTTGGAATACTGAGACAAGTTCTGTTCTATTAGTTTTACATGTAATAAAATTATAGGATAACTTTACTTCTGAATGTTCCTACTGACAAAAAGAAAAGAAAAAAATAAGAAAAGAAAAAAATAAGAAAAGAAAACTGCCTCTCTATTAGTTCCTACTACTTAAAAAAATATTCCTGTTCATTTGACCTTGAAGGTTTCATCTTCACATAATATTAACAGATAAAGATGAGGTGTTCTCTATTTAAAAGACTCATATAGCTTCCAGAAAAATGTCTAAGACTCACTATCTTTAAATAAAATTCGTGTTTCTTTTAAAGCTATTATATATACAATTCCTTTTATTTTTTTGATAGTTAACTCACTCTCAGGACCCTCAGGACAAAGAGGCCACCAATTCCTTTACACTAATAAAAGAAACAAAACTATGTGGTCGCAATAGTCACTTTTCCATTGTTATAGTAATAAAACACCATGACAAAAGCAACCAAAGAAGAAAGAGTTTCTCTTAGCTTATGGCTTCAGAGAAATAAGAATCCATGATGGAAAAGTGGAGGCATGGCCACAGACATTAGACTTTGCATGCAGTGGCTGGAACGGCAAGCTGAGAGCTCACATCCTACAGCAAGCATGAAGCAGAGAGCTACTGGAAATGGTGCACATCATTAAACTCTCAAAGGCTGCCTCTGGGAACATTCTACCACCACTAAGGCTATACCTCCTGAGCCTCCCCGAAGACAGCTACCAACTGGGGACCAAGCGTTCACTCATATGAGTCTATGAGACATTCCCACTCAAACTACCACAATGGTTTATGATAAAAGTCGGTGTATCATAAACCAAGGACAGTGCATGGATTGTTAGGTTTTCGCAACTATCTCTAGCATAAATTTATCTGCTGGCTCCTAAATTCTGCTGTCTTTCTTTGGTCAGTGTTCACCCCCAGTGTTTCACACAATTTTGTAATTAAAGCTGTCAGATATATACACTGGATACCCAGCACATTCAACTCTTTTTTCCTTGTGCTGATAAAACAGAATTTCTACTGGTAGGAGAATGAAAACAGATCTGCATTTTTACTCCACACCAAAGTGCACCAAAAATCCTAATTTAAAATCAGAAATGTTAAAACTGCTATAGGAAAACATGGGGAATGTGCATAAGGATATAAATATTGGCAACACTTTTTGGATGGGACCCCAATAACACAAGAAATGGCCCAAAGAATTAACAAATGAAATTAAAGTTTCTGTATAGCACGGGGAGCAATCAACAGAACAAACATATCTTGCACAATAAGTGAATCAATGATAGCTATACTTCAGAAAGTGGTTTAATATCTAGGCTATATAAAGAACTGCAAAAATAAATGTACAAAGTATCTAACTAACAAATGGGCTAATGAAATAAATGCATAGTTTATTTTAAACAAACAAATCAGAATATGACAAAACAAATAGAGAAAAGACCAAAGAAAAAGCATCACACACACACACACACACACACACACACACACACAGAAATCCTATTAAGATACAAAATTGGAAGCCATAATACATCAGTAAAAAGACTTGTAAAGTTAAAAGAAACTTCAGATGATTTTCAAATAAGAAGCACAAATAGCCAATAAGTACTTTTAGAAGGATTCACCACACTTAGACATCAGAGAAATTCAAATTAAAACTACTTTGTATTTCATTTCACTCCAGTCTGAATGGGTATCATCAAGAAAAGAGATACTAATGCATTTTGGCAAAGATATGGCAATGAAGAACCATTATTCACTGCTAGTGGGAGTGTAATCTAGTATAGTCATTATGGGAATTGGAATGGAGTTTTCTCAAAAAATTAAAAATAGAATTATTTGTTTATAATACTTCTGAGATGAATCCAAGGACTCTAAGCCCTACTACAGAGATGCCTACACATCCATGCTCATGGCTGTATTGTTCACAGTAGCATGGAAATAGAACTGTCTCAATGGCCACCAATGAGTCAATGAATGGATGATAACAATGTAGTGTCGACAAACAATGGGAGTTTACTCTAGTTGTAACGAAAAATGGCATTGTGAAATTTTCAAATAAATGAATGGAATTAGAAAGAATTAAATTAAGGGAGATGAACAAAACTCAGAAAGAAAACAGTTGCTTATTCCCCGTCATACCCAGAGCCTATTTTTTATTTAAATTACAATCTTATTTTATATACCAATCCCAGTTCCTTCTCCCTCCCATCCTCCCACTCCCCCCACGCCCCCATCCCACCCCTTTCATCCACTCCTCAGAGACGGTAAGACCTCCTATATGGAATCATCAAAGTCTATCACATCATTTGGGTCAGGACTGAGGCCCTCCCCCTGTATCTAGGCTGAGAGAGTATCCCTCCATAGAGAATGGACTCCAGAAAGTCAGTTGTTATACTAGGTATAAATACTGGTTCCTCTGCCATTGCCCCATAGATTGGCCAGGTCTCCTAACTGACACCCACATTCGGGGACCTGGTTTGGTCCTATGCAGGTTCCCCAGCTGTCAGACTGGAGTCAGGGAGCTCCCACTTGCTCAGGTCAGCTGTTTCTGTGGGTTTCCCCAACATGGTCTTGACCCTTTGGCCCAGACCTGCTTTATAACATTTATAGACATATGTAAATATGAGAAAAGATCAACTAGAGGGGAAGTCGAGTCACTTAGGTGGGAATGGATGACTAGTGACATGAACGAGGGAGGCAGCTGTGGGTGGAAGGGTACGAGGTAAGGTCATTGGGATGGAATGGAAGCAGTGGGGCAGAGAATCTACAAAACAACCTTTGCTTGAAAAAGAACTCAGCCAAATGCTGTGTATGCTAAGTAAACTTTTTTTTACATTTAAAAACAGCATAGAGCCGGGCGGTGGTGGCGCACGCCTTTAATCCCAGCACTCAGGAGGCAGAGGCAGGCGGATCTCTGTGTGTTCGAGGCCGGGCTGGACCCACAGCCTCCAAAACAATACAGAGAAACCCTGTCTCGTAAAAACCAAAATAAATAAATAAATAAAATAAAATAAAAATAGCATAGGTCTGATTAGTGTATAAATGCATCATCAGTCATAACTTGTCATAATCCTGTGGCTTCCCATGAGAAACTTCTGAAGTCATTTAAAAATTTGCGTTATCATCATTATTAGGGAATGAGCAGGGTGGTCTGAGAAGAGCGGGTGGAGCCAGTTGTCTGAAAGAGGAATCACATATGCTCCCCACTCCCTGAGGAGGCTGAAAGAGAGTGTCAGCAAATTAGCTCTCATTCTCTTTGCTGCAACAGGTGATAGTGTCTTGTTGAAACAGTTGCTGAGAACAAATACTCAGTAAGAACACAGCAGAGCCACACGGAGTATAACGGAGCCAAACAAAGCTCAAGGGATGTTTTATTTCCTCACAAAGCAAGATGCTAACACTAAAGTTCATTTGTCTTTTAATGTGCTGGCACCATTAAGGTGTCTCCTCTTCACCTGTGGCTACTTGTTTTGAGGGCGTTGGCTTTAGTTAAGACCACCTAAAGGACCCAAGATAGTTGACAGTGAGGGTAACATTCATGTACTTCCATGTGTTGTCCTAGAGAAATGGCTTGAGCCTGCTGGTCAGACATTTGAAGCTGATGAAAAAGTGATGGGTGATGTGGAGTTATTGGTCTCCATCAGCAAGATTGTGAGGACCGCAACAGATAGGGAGCATTGAAAGCCCAAATGTATGTGTCCTGGGTGCATGCATCTCTCTCTCTCTCTCTCTCTCTCTCTCTCTCTCTCTCTCTCTCTCTCTCTCTCTCTCTCTCTCTCTCTGTGTGTGTGTGTGTGTGTGTGTGTGTGTGGTCTACTGTGAACTTGTTCCACTCACTTTCCTGTATATCCAGAACTTAGAATGTATAGCTTGACTTTTGAAACATGTACTTTTCCAGCTTGACATTAGCACAGCCATGAGAAAAAGCATGAAGCTCTAAACACTCAGCAGTTAATGCTGTGTGGCCCACAATGTATGACATCATATTCAAGTCCATGATCATGAATGTGATGTAATAATAGTTTAAGAGATTTTTATAATGCTGAAGTGGTCAGTGGAAAGGTACCCTTGTTTATATTCAAATATTAGTACCTACCCTGGATTATGGGGAGTGCTGAAATATCAGTGTTTCGGGCACAATTTAAAGAGTTACATTTCCCTTTCATCTTTATCTCCACGTTGATCACCCGTTTTATGAATAAGAACATTTTGAGCTATGCCTTCCTTATTCAGATCCTCCTATACTTTAACAAGTTACACACCTGGGTAATTATTAATAGGACTTAAACAAGTGTGTATTTTCTTTTGAAAAACCACAATCTTATCACAAAACATGTTCTTAGGAAAAAACACCTTTCCGTGTAATTCAGATGATGACCGTTGTTCACAGTTACTATGTGAGTGATTTTTGTTCCAATCTCTTTTTAATAATGAATCATTTATTTGGTACACAGTTATGAATGGAAATTTTTGTTTAAGAACTGGAAGGAGACAGTAGTGATTTATGTTAATGTGTAAGAAGAAAGTAGAAGCAGGAAGAAATGAAAACCAGAATCAAAATGTTCCAATCAAAGGTTCAGATTCTTCCATCAAACTATTCCTAAACAGTTCCTGAATTTAGTCTCTGTCACTTTTATTTTCAGAAGGGAGTCAATTTCAGTTGTATCATGATTTGTTCAGAATTTCTCATCTGACTTTCCTAAGATTTAGTAAGCATTAGTTACACCATCCTTGAACATCAATATGGTTAAAGCTACGGATGAGGTATTGAACTCTTCCACTATGTTCTCGTTACACCCTAGGGATTTTGTGGGTTTAAAACAGTCTTCTTTACACCCTTATACACACTTGTGTTGCTAATTTTGTGTGGTATTTTGTCTTCAAAAAACATGGTCCAAATCTTAAGAGTCTTGTCTTGACCCGAGTCCTGATAGTCTCATAAAAATTAGATTGCCTTGTTTCTGCTATGCTTTCAGTATAAATCTTTGAAGCTGTGAAAGAAGTATGTTTTGTTTGCATTTCCATTCCATGATTTCTAGTTGTGTGACCCTAGGCTGATGATCAGTAAAAAGAGGGTGATGTTGTCTCTTAGCACATAGTAGCATTTCAAGAAGCTTGAATATGATGACAAGTGTGTAGCACTTCCCATTGGTAGGAAGCAACTGATAAAATACTCATCACAGACAAATCAGACATCGGAATGAATTCCTCCATAGTTCTAGGAGAAACTGCACTTACCATGGAGAAGATGTAGGCACTTGGAGGGGACACCAAGGAGCAGTAAAGTCTCTTAGAGATTCTGCAAGGTGGGGACCTCAGCATGTTGTTTCGTGTTTAACCTGGAAACAAGAAGGGACAGAGAGACGGGAGTCTGAACGAAAGAAGATGGAGGGAAGCCAAAGCCTTTCCCATTGCTTTCCAAAGACCTGTGGACAACCACCAGGCTCATCACAACTGCACTTGAACTTCCAGAACCCAAACATCTGTTGACTAATGAATATTACCAGGAAGCCATCTAATTGCTATGTAACAACTGTGTGAGAAGAAAAAACTTCTAACAATTGTCTGACAAATGAACCTCTGAATTGTGGTGGCAGCTTGTGTACTCTGTATGATCAAGTTTTACCGTCTTTTGGTCTCCAGTCTCCCCTTCAGTTTGATCCACCCTGAAAAACAAAAAAATCAAACACTTGAAGTTGATGAAAGGCTGGTGGGTTGATGTGGAGCTATAAGTAGCTACTAACAAGTTTGTAAGGGCTTTAAATTAAGCTGATATTATTTGGTCCTGGAATTTGACTCTATTTATGTTTCCTCTTGTTGTAAACTTTTGTACTATCTACTTCTGTGATTGGCCTAGGAGTGGACCTAACACATGTGAATCCTTGGTTTCACAGTTCAGAGAGCATAGGAGATAATACTAAATATAGGAAATGATGATGACGAAAGTAAGACAGTACAATAACTTAGTTATCTCCCTTCATAAGAACGAGGCATGTGCACACATGAATTACCAGGAAACTGAAGTTATCCTCTCTAAGTTTCAATACTGTCATGATTTATTCCACCCCTTCTTACATAACACCATTTTTACATACTTTTGAAGTAATTTTGAACATAGTGTTTACCTTTGTTTGAAAACTGGAACATCAAAACTTTGCTGACAATGTCCTTTTAAATCTTTCTCTCATTCTCCCTCCCTCCCTCGCCCCCTCCCTTCCTACCTCCTCCTTCCCTTCTTCCCTCTGTCCTTCCCTCCCTCCCTCCCATCCCCTTCCATCTCTGACACAATCTCATTGCATAGTCCAGATTGACTGGGACCTAACTTGCTATGCGTGCCAGGTTGGCCTGGAATCCAGGTTCATACTGTCCCCATCCCCTGAGTGCTGGGATTACAGGAATGCACCACTGTGCCTGGCCCCTATTTCTCTGCATCTTTTCCTTCTCACTATGACTGTAACAAAATGCCAGGTAGTTGTTAGTAAGGGTGCCGTTTCTTTTAGCTTTGCCTGAGTTTCTGCCTTTTCTCATATATTGAATGTGTGTACTGGTGCAGTGAAAGGGACTTGTGAAAGATCAGTGTCATCTCCAAGTGAGAAACATTATAAAGGCACTTTGCAAAGAGGTGGAGACAGCAGAAGTCGGTGTAAGAGCTGGAGCCAGTCTCTGGGACAAATCAGATGGGGGCAGATCTTAGAGACTGAGAAAATATGGAGAATGGTCAGAGCCAAAGCCCAAGAGACAACAGGAGTAAGTACCAGAAAGGAAAAGAAATAAGCCTATGACAGCTTGGTAATCTAGCTACTCTTCAGATTACCACCATGTGATTTCTGTGCCATCAATAAGCCCTTTCCTGTATGTGCTGAGGTCTTCTTCTCTCTACCCTCCACTGTCTCCTCTGACTGCCATTGGTATGGGTTGGAGAGGTGGTACACTGACTGCCTAGTTGAAGGTGACAGGGGAATGAGCTCAGAACAGTCATTTCTCTGGGTAACTGATTGATGCTGAATCTCTCTCCCTAAAGGACAGTCATTTGCTGGACCACCTCTCAAGGGCATGGCTCTAGTAGTTATTAATTCCCCTAATTATTCAGGACTTTAGTCTTACAGTTGATCCCTGCATAAACTTTATGAATGGTATTTGTATACCCCCCCCAGTTGTTAGCTTAGCTGGTCTAGGCACTATGGTTTATTTTCTCTTTAGGTAATGGAATATAAGTTTGAGGGATTTTGATGTAATATGCCCATATTCATGCATCTAGTATCAGGCAGTTCTGGAACCATCTAGGTTTGTTTGTTCAAAGCCCAAGTCATATGCAAAGCACCACAATGTGTCAAAATTCACATAGGAATTAAGAATAGTCATTTTAACTGAGAGGAGGTAACATTGTGGGATCGTACTGTTGGATACAAAATTTAAATGGCTTGTTCCGTCTGAAATTTGCTGAATTTTAATTGCTCCTGATGTGGTAGTGGAAGCTTTATGGCCATATAGGACAATGAAATATCATTTTCAGGGAGATCAATAGTACTAGAGATCATCGTGCTGAGTGAATTAACACAGATCAGAAAGACACGTATGTTTTCTCTCCTATGTGGGGTCTGAGAAAATAAGATGACACGAAAGTGGAAGAAGGATTATTAGAGAAGAGAAAACAGATCAACAGGAGAGCAGATATGATCAGAGGATATCATACAGGTGCATGAAAACGTCACTATGAAAATCACTATCCTGTATAATCAATTCTAATAAAATGAGATGATTGGGTGATTAGAAGGGGTCAGTGCCTTTTTGCTGGGGGTATGTTCTTCTCTGCTGGGTCTGTATTAATTATTATATGAGTAGACTATTGTAAAAGGAAGCTGTTCTTTGTGATTTTCTTTTTTTAGTGTTGGTCCAATTACCCTTTAGTTTTCCTATGCAAAACTACCAGATTTTGGACTGTTCTATCTTTGGAAAATGAAACAACGTACTTCTAGCTTCTTTATAGGTCATTGGGTCTGGAGTGTTCTCTTGAAAACAAAACTGAATGGGGATGGAAAAGGACCACATTTTATACTGCCACTTGACCACTAAGATTTGGAGCCTATAGGATCATGAAACGTTAAGGCCCTTATCTGTATTGGTTTTCACATTGTGGTTATTGGATGCCTAGCACGTCCACTTAGAAGCTTCTGGGATTTCCACTGGACCAAATTGGATAGTAGGAGGATTTGGGATATCCTCATTGGCTTCATCAAGAACCAGTACAGCTTAGTTACTTTTATTGTTTTTCTCTAGATCCAATGGACAGGAATCGTAAAAGCCAAGGTCTTCAGGTTTCTCTTGTGCTTTAGAAGTTTTGTCATTTGGAAATACACGCAAGAGAAATGGTTTATGAAATAAAGGTTAATTACAGTGTGTGGCTTCAGAGGCTTTGGTCCCCGTTGTCTGGCCATTGTTTCTGCAGAGTGGTGAGGCAGAAAATGATAGTGGCACGCCGGGCAAAAGGCCTGTGATGCTCACACGTGAGCAGGGAGGCAGAGAGCAGCAGGGAAGGAAGGCACGCCTTCCAAGCCCACTTGTGAGAGCTAATTGTCACTGTACACTGTGAATCCCCCAGGAGACGATGTTGCCTGTGTCTGTTAGGTGTCTCCAGAGAAGTTTAAATGAAGAGCAAAGACTAATGGGAATTGGAAAACAGGAAGGAAGGATATGGTCTGAACTGAATCAAAAGGGCAAAGAAGAGTATGAGTTGGGTACCAGCATTCATCTCTTTCTGTTTCCTGAATGTAGATGCACTGTGGCTACTCATTGTGGTTCTGTTTTCACATCTAGAGACACTTTTTACTACCATAGTCCACAAGAAACTCTTTCCTTCAGTCTCTCTCTCTGTCTCTCTTTTTCTCTCTCTCCCTCCTTCCCTCTCTTTCGCTCTTTCTTTGGCAATTTGCCAAACCCACAGAAATTTAGCTGAGTACACCTAGCTCTGTCTTACCTCCTAAAGTTTCGACAATCTCCCAAAACAGGACTACCAGCTAGGGACCAAGCCTGTCAGACAGAATCCTATAGAAAATAGTACAGATCCAAAGTATAATACATTAGTTTCCACATTAAAATGAGGCTATAAGTCCACAGAATTATTGAGGCTATTAATGAAATATCACATATGAAAACTCTGTTTTTTAGTTAAGTTCTACTTCTCTAATATTTTCATTCTTTGTGCATGCAGTCAGGGAGAAAAAGAATCTGCTTTAGGGTCTAAAACTTGTAATTTGATCCCTGATTTAGTTGCATTTGGCTAACAACCAATAGTTTTCTACATGTGGCTTTGTTCTGAAAAACTGTAGCAACTGGAGGGTGGAGGAGACAGATGTAAGCTTACCCTAAATCTTGGCATGACAAGCATGTGCTTTGTGTAGGAAGATGTAGTGGTGACCACTCTGCTTCATATTAACACAGATAATAAAATGACTAATCCATGAACAGTACTCTTGTACCCACTCATAAGCAGTCAAGCAGCTGGTTCTAATGCCTTTCAATCCCTCCCATGGCACTCTGTTCTTTTCTTAGAGCCGGCTAAGTACATTTTAAGTTGGAAAATATGCTTGAGTAGTGTCTGTAGCAGTAATGTTTGAGAACAACTGATCTAGGTGAAGTAACTCTATATAGATATATATACTCTATATGTGAGTACACAAATACTCATAGAACACAAGCGTACTAATTCATTCTATAATGTAATGTTAGTTGCTAAGGAATCAGACATAACAAGCCAATGACTCTCAAGTTTGGTTGCCTAATACAAGCACAAAGAGCATTTTCAAAGGATCAATATCAAATGGCTACCCAGATCATTTAAATCAGTAATTCTGGAATTGGGACTCCAAGTTTCAAGTTAAAAATGGTTATAGGTTAGATATTTGTTTATGAGATGTCTTTGAGACCCACTGGCTTTTTTTTTTATGAGACAGGGTTTCTCAGTATTGTTTTCGAGGCTGTCGGTCCAGCCCAGCTTCAAACTCACAGCGATCTGCCTGCCTCTGCCTCCCAAGTGCTGGGATTAAAGGCGTGCACCACCACCGCCCGCCTCCACACACTGGCTTTTTAAGAAGAAAAATTTACAACTTTGTGTAAGGTGTTTTCTGCTGCTCGTATGATAGGATACATGTGAGGGGACTTTCTCACTCAGTAAACAATTAGAAAATTCTGTGACAGATATGAGGTGACAATCTCTGGACACTAAACAGTAGGCAGTGCAGGAGTCTGATCTCCCAATTAAGGGAAACCAGGAAGATGAACCTCAAGTTCTGAAGGACAGTGCAGGATTGAGGAGTTTTGAACCAGAGCACAAAGCACAGGGGACAGGCTGGCATTTTAGGGTGAGATGTTTGTAATCTAGAGGTAGAGAGAGCACTAGAAGAGAGGAAGCAGCTGGACAAAGACCTCTGAAAATTGCATAAAGACTGCCTTGAGTGTTGAAGCTAAGCCAGAAGGAACAAAGAAAAACAATTTGAAGAGTACACAAAGGGTAGGAAGATCTGGGAGTTCTGGTCAACCACAATGAAGAGATCTTGTTGAAGCTCTGAGGCGTTCAATGTAGACATTAGGCAGTCAGATCCCACAAGAAAAACAAACTAGCTCTGGGATCAAGGACTTGCTCAACCTTCCCTAACAAAGCTTGCAAGAACAAGTTTGAAAAAGCTCAATTTTATTTACAAGTGATTTCAGGGTTTACCACAATCTTGAACAAAGTCTTAAAGAAAGAAAGGCATATTTAAACCTCAGTACCCAACAGAATTCCCAGGATCAAGTAAAAATAAAACAAAACAGAAAATAAAGAAAAACAACAACAAACAAAGCAACCATATCAAACAAACAAACAAACAAGGCCAGTGGAGTAATAGAAATTTCAACATAAGCCAAGTGACAAAATTGTCATTAGAAACAGTCCCCAGTTGGCAAACAGGGATCTTGAACAGATTATAAATACTTTGAAGATTTGAAGAATAAAAGGTTAATGAGAGGGTGAATGATTTAAAAATAGAATGGTATATGAAAGACAAATCTTCAGTGAAGGAGATTGACAACTGATTAACATAAAGATGGAAAATGAGTATTAAACCATTGCAATTGAAATAATATAATGGAACAAAAGAGGAGAGAGACAGGATTGAGCATGGATTTAGAGCCCCAGGGATGACATAAGACACTAACTTGTGTGTAATTTGAGAGTTTTGATAAGTAGATTGAGAAAAGAAAGTAAAATTATGGAAAGAAATGATTTTGCAAGTTTGCTTAAAGCTACAAATCCACATATCCAAGATGTTGAACAGAACCCCAACCAATGTCACCCAACTAACAGACCAGCATGTGTGGAGAGTGCCACCCACTTAACAGGCTGAGAACAGAGTGTCCCCATCTTGCTTCCAAACACAGGCTCTGGGTATACATTGCTCAGGCATGGTGTTATTATCTTTTATTTTTAATTTGTTTATTCATCTATTTAGTTTACATCTCAGGAGCAGCCCCCTCCCTTCCTCCCTTCCATGCCCCCCCAATCCCCTCCTCCTCCATCTCCATTCAGTAAAGGAAAGTTTTCCCTAAGTATCAATAAAATGTGGCATATCGAGTTGCAGTAAAACTAAGCACTTCCCCATGTATTAAGGCTGCACAAGGTGACCAGTAGGAGGAAGAAGGTCCCAAAAGGCAATAAAAAAAGCAGGAGGCAGCCCCTGTTCCTGCTGTTAGGAGTCTCACAAGAGGACCAAGCTACATAGCTGTAACAGTATATGCAGGGTGCCTAGGGCCAGTACAATGCCGGCTCCCTGGTTGTCCATTCAGTCTCTATGAGCTCCTATGAGCCCAGGTTAGTTGATTGTGTGAGCCTTCCTGTGGTGTCCCTGACCCCTCCCTCTGGCTTCTATAGTCTTTTCTCCTCCTCCTCTGCAGGATTCCCCAACTCTGCCTAATGTTTGGCTGTGAGTCTTTGCATCTGCCTCCAACAGTTGCTAGACGGCACCTCTCTGATGACAACTGGGCCGTGCACCGATCTGGTCACAGGAGACAGGCAATTCAAGTGACTTATCTGCTATTTCTAGGAGTCTAAGCTGGGTTCTTCCCCAAAGACTTCTGAGAAATTCCCCCAGGCACGGTTAAAAGCACAACCTTTAAACTTTTGTCTCCCATTCCACAAAGTCCTTGTGTAGTCCAAGGTACTTCAGGATGGTCTGAAGAAGTCGCACTGGTTCATAGTGTTATCCAGTTATAGACTTCTAGCCTTGGGAGCCATAAGAGAACAAGTATCTTTGGTTTTAGGTCTGTGATCATTTGCTGCATCAGCTCTATTTAACTCATATATTACCTCTGTTTCCAAGTTCTCATTTGGGGCAGCAGAAGAGGTGGCAGAGTAACACAGACATCTTGACACAGAATCAGCCAGAAAAACTTTGAGACTATTCCAATGTTTGCCCAACTTCAAAAATGTAGGCATTGTCATCTAGGAGGAAGCCCAGAGGTCTGTACTTGTAGAACAGCCCTGTGTAGCTAGAAGGAGCAGCCAGGCTTACAATTGTTTCAATAGCACTGGCTGTCATTTCCCAAATCAAAGGCATGGAATGTGTGAATATAGGGGAAGAGGCTCCTTGGGAAGCCAGGAAAAATTCTAATCAGCCCAGGAGAAACTAAGGAAAGACTGAGTGGTCTGCAGAGACTGAAGAATTGCAAGGCAAACACTAGCATAGCATCAGGCTAAACGCCTTGTTTTCCTGGGCCTCATGAATTCATCATCACCTCTACAGGAAGAAACACTTCAGAAATGTGTGATTTGGGGAAATATTGTATCAAATGGCAGGCCAATTTGCTTCTGTGCTCTGGCAGAATAAAAATCAAAAAGATCAGCAGGAATTCAAAGGGTCCCCTTCCTACAAAATTCATTCCTGCATTCATGAAATGTTTATTGGGTAATTTCTTACAGGTCATTCAACATACAGTCACTCTGCGTGCTGCCTATCCGGCATCTTGCTAGAAGTTTGAAGTCAACCAGTAAGCCCAATCGAGTGTCATATTATCTTTCATAGAGTGTTAGGAAAGGAACACTCTGTAATGAGAAATAGATCAGGCGTGTGATAAGCAAATGGGTAGAGGTGGGATGATAGTATGCATGTTTGGACAGGGAACACCTCACTGAAAATAAATGTAAGCAAAGCCTCAAGTGGGGGAAAGCAAGGACCATGGGCATACGCTTAATAAGCTTCCAGTCACAGGCAGCATGCTTCAGAGTCATGGCCACATCTGTCAGTGAATCTAGATCACCACTCCCTCCCAGAACTCCATCATTTGATTAAAGAACCAATGCCCTAGTTCACACTCAGTTGGAAGTGGAAAACAGACTGCGTCTGTGAAGCTCCGGTGTTTTGAGAAAGAACAGGGTCTATCCACCAGACCCTTTATGCATTTTAGCAGTGGAGACAGCAAAGGGAGTCTTTTCCAAGCCAACACCCCCAAAGTAAAAATTAAGCCATTGTAGAACTTTACAATCCAAAGGGCACATTCCTCAGTGAGTAGCTCCAGGGAGGAATGGGACCAGGGCAGCAGAAGCCACCAAGCTCCTTTGCAAATTGTGATGTGATTTCCCTTTTATCATTTTTGGACCAGTCCCCTTTCCAATTAGGGACCACAGCTGCTAAGAATAAAGTGGTGTCTGTTCAGCTGGCAGAAGGCACAATGGCCCACTCACGCCATCAATGGCAGTCATTGTTCAGAAAATATTGCCATTGAGATTTTTAAATGCTAATGGAATTAATTTCTCTTTCAATGTTGATTGTCACCCAGCTTCTTCTTCTTTGGAAAAAAAAAAGAACATGGGAGGATGGGCTTTATTTTCATTGAATAAGACCAAAAACACTTTCAAAAAATACAGATTCAGAATTTTAAAACCACTAAGAACTTTTGGTATTATTTATTTACCCAACTCACTGCTAGAAGAGATCATAGACCCCAAAATGCTGACCATCTTATTTAGTAAACACTGTGATTTTCATGGTACAGTCAAAGTCAACCCCTTCCACTCCCACCCAGAACTGTTTCTAGGGGTCTGTACCAGCAGAAATATTTCTGTTTGAGGGATCTACAATTCTCCACTAGATTCCCTTTGCTATGAACAGATGTCAAATGAGTACCTCCCTGAGCTGTTGTTTTCTTAAGGGATCAAATAAAAGATTCATATATATATTTCTGATAGTTTTCCTCTGCTTGTAATCCACACTACCTTTTTAGACTCCAAGGAAGATCTTCTTTACACATTGGACAGTCCAGGACCAGCAAAGACCAGCATGTCCTTTGGCTTCTGTAGACTTCGTATCTCAAGATCAAAGATTTATGGGTTCATCTTCTTTGGGCTGCTCTCACGTAGTCCTATAAACTGGGTGACTTAAAAAAATTAGACATATATTTCTCATGGACAAAGAGAGAAAATTTCCATTTCCAAGGTTGAGAGTTAATTTTGACCTGGGTGAAGGCCCTCTTCACATCCAGCCCATTCACATTTCCTTATTTGATAGAAAGAAAGAGACTATTATTTTGAGAATACTAGTGGCACTGCACACATGACCTCATCTAAACCTAATTGCTCTCAAAGACTCCAGGCTCCATCTTCAAACACGAACAAATTGGGAAGGACTTCAGTGTGTGTGTGTGTGTGTGTGTGTGTGTTTGTGTGTGTGTGTACTATATGTATGTGTGTATAGCTGATCACACCCATATGTATGCATACAACAGCTAGAAGAGGACATTGGGTATCTCCTCTTCCTCTCTGCCTTATTCCATTGGCATGGGGTCTCTCACTGGGAGCAACATGGGCACAGAATTTTGGGAGTGTCTTTGCATTTGATGAAGGTCTTTCCTCTCACCTCAGGTGGGCTTAGATTGGGGCAAATAGGATACTGGAAAACGTAACAGCCCCCCAAAACTTTCCTGAGCCTTTGGATTCTTGTCTTCTGAACTCAAAGAATGGAATTTACAGACCACAGAGGGTGGGCTATATGGAGAAGTTTATAATAGATTCATAGGAGAGAAAGCAGAGTGTTTAGACCAGGAATAGGTCCCTGTGAACGAGGTTCCATTGAGCTAATACCAGGCTCTTTTTAAAGGAATTACATCAGAAACTGGGGTGAGGTATGAGGAAGAGGGAGATAAGCTGGCCAATCCAGTGGGCCCAACCATGAGGTGTCTCATTTCAGTCACGTTCTCACATACAGCTTTGAGGCAATAGATAAGAAAGCAGGAAACAAAACTCTCTTCTGGCACGGCTGGCCTCCAGCAAGGCATTCTGGGAATTGCTGCCTTGGGGTCCCTGACCCACCTGACCAGTTTGTGTCTTCAGCTCCCACCAACATAATGTAGTCCTTAACAGGCGGGATCCTTTGCTCGTTCTAGACCCCTCCGAGGTAGTCAAGATCAATCCCTCAGACATGGCAGTAACTGAGCCACAGGGAAGTGACCCTAGTGTGTGAGGCCAGGAGGAGAGGGTTTGGAATTCAAGCCATCTCTTCTCATTGTGAAAGTCACATATACGTGCATACGTGCGTACGTACATACACACATACATACACGAACTTAAGGGAGAACAGAGGTGAGGCAGGAGGAACTGCAAACCCTTGACAGAAACTAAGCACACTGGCTCACATGAGTCCATACACTTGCAACGATGTCCATCTTCTGTCCTCAGCAATAGAAATCGTCTCTGAAGGCCGGACACCTTATCTCCAGACACAAATCCCAGAGCCATCAAAAGCAATAATTGAAATTATATCACCAGGTCAATCGGCCTGGGAATTTGACAAGAGATATGTGGTCTCCACTATCATTTTTTCTAGGGCCAAGCAATTTCGGGGTGATAAACTCAGATACAAAAAGTTTACCTGAAACTCACAGGAAGAATTTCCAGGACTGACCCTATTTCAGGCTTAAACACTCTTCTTCCTGTTGTTTCAATCGCAAGTGAACATAAAAAATGAAAGAAAAGCCTGAAAACCCAACCAAAAAAAAAAAAAAACCCGAAAACCTTCCTAATTCGATAAATTCTCTATAACATCATCTATCCTGGCAGAAATTGTGGGAGCATAGGTTTCTGGAATTTATTCTCGTCTTCCCTTGAAGGTGACACTGGGGCCTTAAATGCAAACACAGACTGAAATTAACCTCATAGCTGGCTTTGACTCCAGTTACTGAGGTGTTTGCTTTAGCTCTTCTGACAAATTTACAGCCACACTCCCATTCCCAGGTAATAACCCCAATCCTACCTCACGGCGACCTTGAAATGTTAGTTTGATTACATCTTAGGCAGAAGAGGTGTGCTCTGAGAGATGAATCAACCCTCAGATGTGATTTTATGGGAACCGGCTTTCTCTGGGAGCCTCCAGTAAGACCATCAGGTTAGGAACGTACTAAATGAAAAGAGGAAAAATCTAACAATGGCTGAAGCCAGAGGCCAAGTCTAGAAAGTGATCAATAGTTGAACATCTTTTCAATTAACTGCCTGGAACCAAAGTTTAGCACCAGCCTCTCTCTAATGTGGAAGGGTTTTTTAAACATTTATTAAAAAATTCAGTGTTATGTTTTCATTGTGTTATTTTGTGTGCATATGTGTGGTGTGTGTATGTGTGTGTGTTGTGTGTGTGTTTGTGTGTCTGATCGAATCTTTGTTTGCATACAAAGGACAGAGGGGTCATTGTGTGTGTTTTATTATTCATTCTCTTATTCCCTTGAGACAGGACTCTCGATGAACCCAGAATTCACCATTTTGGCCAGGCTGGCCAACCACTGAAACCCTAAGATTCTCCTGTCTATGCTTTCCAACACTGAGGTTACAGAGGTGACCATACCTAGGATCCAAATGAATACTGGATATTCAAATTAAGCCTCTCATACTTGGACTCAATGAGTCATCTCCTTAAGCTCTCACAGTATTTGTCAAGGTTTCCTTTCTGTTGTTTTACATAGGTCATCTGCCAAAAAGCATGGGTGGGTTCCAATGGGCACCAACATTCTTGGGGCCCACACATAGGCCCCATGCACAGTGCAGAGTTACTTGTTTGTTTCTTTATTGCCAGACTGCAAAATATCAGTGTCTCTCTTCCTTTTAACTCACCTCAAGATCCTTCATTCCTCCTTCTGTTTAGCCATACCTTAATATGTAGCTGGAAAGGTAATATCCCATTTAGAAGCAAGATGACCAATACCTCACACAATGACATTATTTGCATTTATGTGTCAAAGTCTTCCCCCATTGTTCCATACTGCCTGGGAAGGATATCATAGACACGTCTAGCAGTGTGCTTTCCTAATCTCCTAGGTATTTCCAAATGCAATCAAGTTAAGAAAATTAACCATCACACACAATGAAAGCAAACATACCTAATGCCATGCTGTAGACGGAACAAAATGTATTATACTCAGCACAGCTTTTCCTTTCTTTTTTCTCCTCTTCTCCATCCTCTTTTCTCCCATAGTAGTCAATAACTAATAAACTCCTTCAATTAAGTCAAGTTGACAGCAGAATCACTCAGTGACTAGCAAATCTGTGCCCACACTCCTGTTCCAGTAATCCTAATATAATAATTCCAAAGCATTCTAAAAAAAAAAACCACCACCTTAGCTAACAGAGATCTTTTGTTGGCCTTATATCAAATGGGTCTTGAGTCCAATTAGACAGCTGTAGGTTACTCCAAAGATATAAGGGCCACTGTTGCACTGCTGTAGATACCCTGCCATTCCAGTCAATGTTTTGGTTTACAGGGTTTACAGCGAGATAGGAATACCAGTTGCTTCTCTCCCTTAGCAACTAGCATAGCAACACTGGATACTGTGACAGCCCATCCTCAGGGAAGGGGAATCCAGGCAGGTCAATTCCCTCTTGAACCCTCAAAGTCCTATGTCCAAAGTCTGTGATGACTTCAGCAGTAGTTTCTTAATTTGAAGTTCTGGGAAGAAACCAAGGACAATGGAAATATTCTACATTGTCCTAAGAGTCTCTTAGATTGCCCTGATCACCAACTCAAAGGGAGGTTACTCATGCCTGACACTGGGTCTCTTAAGGGGAACGATAGCTCTTGGGGGAAACATTACCATCTCATGAGGTATAACTTAATCTAAATTATTGATATATGCATGCACATACACATATATACTATATTAAGTAGACATAAAGTTATACACTTTCTGTGGCTTTTCCAATGGAGGAGAGAGGGATTCGGTGTTCTTTATCCCTCCTTTCTTGTTCTTCTGTCATCTTGCCATCCCTCCTCCCTCCCCAGATGAAGTGTTCCCCCATTTTTCCCATTTCTCTTCGAGTCCATTGTGGACCACGTAAGTCTCTTTCCGTCTACTGGTACTGGTACAGGAAGAGCAGTGATGTAAGGAAGCCAAGTGAGCTAAGTGAAAACCTGAACATAGCTGCACATAGAACAGCTCACTGGGGCCTTCAAAGAACCGGGGCAAGAAATGGTGCCTAGAGTCTAAAATTACAGTATCAAAGAGCCGAAAACAGGAAGCTTATTCGAGACACGTCTGGTCTACACATAGAGTCCAGACCAACCAGTGCTACAAAGCAAGACCCTGCTTCAACTAACAATGGTGAAAACGAGACAGGGGCTCCACTCTTCTTCTTCAGCAAGCCCATCATTCCCACAATGCAGCCTTTGTTTTTCCGCTTAAAGTGAAAATGCAGTCTTAACTCTGGTCCTTAAATACATGACCCCAAGCAAGCCTCTGACCTCTCCACTGAGGAACTAAAGATGCCTAGCCAGCTACTTTATTGCAAGATTTGAATGGGTCTCGTGTCTGAAGGTGACCAGAATTTTGTGATTAATGTTATTAGCAGAGGCCGGCTGTCTGCATACATGGATGAGAAAATGGAGCAGGAGAAAGGGGAAACCACATAGCTTAGGAAACATCAAACACGTATTTAGAAGTCAGGTACTGGTGTTGATATTTGGTTCCTCCCACAAGGGAGAAACACTGGCCTTCTGCAGAGTATGCAGAAGCAAAAGCTTCTTTTTTGCAGGATTTTAACAAGTGTTGGGTGAAAGAGAAAAGGGAGAGATGGAGGCAGAGAGGCAGAGACAAAGAGAGACAGAAAGAGAGAGGCCACTAAAAGAGAGCAACAGAAAAGAAGGATGGGAGGGAGGGAGGACAACGGAGAGGGAGAGAGGAGGGAAGCAGGAAGAGAGAGAGGACAGGAGGGAGGGAGGGAAGGAGGGAGGAAGGAAGGACGGAAAGGAAGGAGGGAGGGAAGGAGGGAGGGAGAGAGGACAGGAGGAAGGGAGGGAAGGAGGGAAGAAGGAAGGACAGGAAGGAAGGAGGGAGGGAAGGAGGGAGGGAGAGAGGACAGGAGGAAGGGAGGGAAGGAGGGAAGAAGGAAGGACAGGAAGGAAGGAGGGAGGGAGGAAAGAAGGGAGGGAGAGAGGACAGGAGGGACAGGGGAAAGGAGGAAGGGAGAGAGGACAGGAAGGAGGGAGGGAGGCAGAGAAGGAGGGAGGGAGGCAGGGAGGGAGACAGAGAGGGAGGCAGGGAGGGAGGGAGGAAGGTAGAAAGATAATGAACAGGGCAACTGTGGTTGATATCAGTCAAAGACACTTTGAAGATTTCAGCATTTATAAACAGTACGATGAGTGATTATTAGGCTAAATGAATAGAAAGATGTTGGAATTGCTAAATGCATGTGGTTGCAGAAACATTTCATCCCAGAAAGCATCTCTCTCAGACACAGAAAAAGAAATGGATATTTCTTGCAGAAAAGCGAAAGACTAGGTTATGAGAAAGGTGGCCTCTTACTGGTTTCCCAAGACAGTCTGTGGAGCACTCTTCTCAGACGCATCTTTAAAATCCTCAGGGGGAAAGTGTGCTTACATTTTTCATACTCACTCACCAGGACACACGCATCCGGTATCTGTTCAGTCTCATTATCCCCTGTGCTTTTGTTCATGTATTACTTTGCTTGCTTGATGTTAAGACAAGGCCTTACATTGTCCAGGCTGATGGTGATCTCACAATGCTTCCTCTGCATTCCTGCGGCAGGCTTTCTTTTGGGCTACCAACCAGCTCCTAAATTACGACATGGAGACAATGCTAATTGTGAATGCTCAGCCTTGTCTTACGCTTGTCCCACAAACTCTTATCACTTAATTCAAACCTGTTTCTCTTCATCTATGTTTTATATCAGAGCTTTTTAATCCTCTCTTTTTCCCTCATTCTTTCTTCCCTCCCAACTTGTACACCCTAAATTTCTCCTCCTACTTATTCATTCTGCCCGCCAACCAGTCCTGCCTATCCCTCTGCTGCCTAGCTATTGGCTGTTCATTTTTTTACTAGACCAATCAGGTACTTGAGTCAGGCAAAACAACACGTCTTTACATCACTCATAAATGCAGCAACCTTTACATAGTTAAAGGAATATTCCAAAACATAAGCAAATGTAACAAAATTTTTACATAGTTAAAGTAGTATTCCACAACATCCTGATGCTGGGGCTATAGGCTTAGCTCTCACACCTAGTTTGCCCCTTGAATTTTATCTAGTTTTTCTGTCCTTAATTAATTTCTGGGCATCTGAATAATGGACAACGTTTTTTTGATGTGCACCCCCCCAACACAGTTGTCTCATGATTTTCTCTTCTGATTCATCTCCCTCCTCTCTAACTGGCTACAAAGAGGCTGAGAAGAAGGGTACCTCTGTCTTCCTGGACTTGGGCCAGGTCTGGCATATTCTTGTCTTCCCATAGGATCCTAAACTGGCCTGTGCTGCGAGTTCCTCCAGTACCCAGTCAACTGACGTTTACAGAATGTGAAACAGGCTTGGAAACGCTGGAGGAAAGAGCAACAAATCAAGACTTGCTGTGAAGAAAGCAAATTATATTTTTTAAGAAAGAAAAGAAATAACAACAAACTTTCAAAGGGGAGTGGAGGGGAAGGGGAGGGGAGGAGAGGGGAGGGAGGCAGGCAGATCTCTGTGAGTTCAAGCCCAGCCTGGTTTATAGAGACATTCCAGGACAGCTAGAGCTACAAAGAAATAAGTGTGTCCTGAAAGAGAAAATAAAGAAAAAGAAAAATTAATATTGCAGCTTAATCCTGCTTCTGGACAAGCTAGAGATGAAGGAGTTCTCCTCTCCTAGTCTGTGGTTTCTGTTGGCCTCTGGCTTACTAGGTTATGGATAAAATAAACAATTATCTGGTAACCTTGGCAACATTTTTCTACTATTAAATTTTGAGCCTCAGAACACCTTTCTTTTGGAGAACCATGCCCTTGCTCCCTCTTGGTTCATATACAATGAAACCGCAGAATTTCATTTTCCCTACTCCTTAGAAATTCAAGTCCAGAGAGCTCTATATGTGACTTAAATAGATCAGTTGAGGGATAGTTATGATGCCAGTGGTTAATGAGTGTTGACCCTCAGGACCTCTGTTCACACTTGTTCTCTGTGGTTCTGAGCAGTATCGTTGTATGTGGTTTATGATAAGGAGTCTTAGTGACCATGTCAACTATCCTCCTAGACATGGCTTCCTGGGAATGAACAAAAACCGGGGAACGTAGGGCCAAGACAGAGAGATTAGGACATAGTAAGAGAGCTGCATTCACCCTACTGGATCTGACTTCTGGAAGTCACGAAGGAGCCCTGGCTTGCCTGTCATCTCATTAGCTCACCCTCTCACTCAGTTGATAATACTTGAGAATTGGGATGTATACGCTGGCCTCTTTGTGAGCTTTTGGGTTTTGTGAGTCCATTTCCTCCTTGTACCAAACCCATTGTATGTCTAAGACAGGCAACACACACACACACACACACACACACACACACACACACACACGAAACTCACAGAAACACAGATACACACACACACACACACACACACACACACACACACACACATGCTCAGAGTTTTCTCAGGATGAACATATCCATTCACTGTCTCATTGTTCCAGCACACTCTTCTTTCTTCCCTTCAAAGCAATGTTGTCCTTACTTTAACTAGCACTGTAAGTGCTTTTAAAGAGAGTTGTTTATTCCAGCTGTGTTCCTAGCAAAGTAAGGGTTTAACAAGGAATCTTAGAACTGTGTTTCTCACAGTAAAATGCAAGTCGTCTTCATACTGGCACAAACAACTCCTCAAAATCTGTACTGTAAGTGGCATTGCAATGACAAAGGAAAATACAATTTTCCAGTTGACCATTCCTTTTTTCCCAAAATGCTGTTAGACTAAAAGTCTAAGAACAGAGAGCATATTTTTTGAGCCTTCTGAGTCATCTTAATTAGTCAATGTTTTTAAAGTCCTTTTTGAGATGAAATCATTATTCATCAGCAAACCCAAGTTGGCTTTTTTGTTGTTGCTGTTATCATAATGATGGCTCTTTTGAAAGATGCTAATTGACCCACCTGCCATGAAAGAACAACTTTACCTTTGCATTAATGACTAGCAACAACATAGGTGGGTATCCTGTTTATTAATTCACAAATTAAAACTTCATACCCAAGAGCTATATACACTTGCTTTTCCAGTAGCAGTGCAGATTGTTGCAGTAGGAAGAGTATATTTTGGCAACTCTGAGAGCCTCCTGAAGATAGGATGGTGTATGTATGGGAGCCAAAAGCTAAAACCCATTGTTTTCACACCACTGTTTCTATTCATGAGAAATGATTTCATGTTTATTAACAGCTTAGACCTAATTGAAACAATGCATTCTCAACACCTGTCATATGGATGTTATTTTATGCTATTACTGTTTTCTTTCTATGGAAGAAGAATTATCAAATTCCATGTTTATTATTTAATAAAAATTGATTTTTAAAAGCATATGTTTAGAAAGACTATCAAAAGGCAAGCTATTTCTCAGATTCTTTCCTGGCATTAAAGAGAATATTATGGCCTCTATGATGTTGTCCAAATAGTACTTGGCTTTTTAGAAATTATATCCATGTAGTATTACACTGAATATCAGATATTTGATATGACATTTGAAGTGACTTATTTTTTCCCCTGTGACTTAAGTGAATTCTTAAAAATCTTCTCTGCAGAATCAAAAATGTTTGCAGAGCAACACTAATATCCTTCTCATCCCAGAAGACAGAGAGGATACAAAAATCTAGCAGAGAGCCAAGTACAGTACAGCTCTTTTACCTTAAATCTAAAAATAAACTGTTTCACGACACTTGTTTGAAAAGAGCTGGTCCAAAAAGAATATTCTAGAAATAAATTCAACACAAGTATCTCTTTTTTTAAAAAAAAGTTACCTTTGAAGCTTTTGTTCTATAATAAAATAGCCTACATGGGAGCAATTTGCTAGTGGCAGATGTTTTCGGACACCAGTTGTCTCTTTCCTAGACCATGGTGTCCTTGCAGGATGGAAGTACTCATTTGTTAAAATGGCATCTCAAGGTCAAACAGTGGAGGGAGCACTGAAAATCACCTAAATTACTGTCAGCAACCAGACTGTTCTGGGATAATCTATCTGGTTCATTTCTAAAGTAAAGCCAACTGAATGTTTAAAAAATCTGATAATCTATAATGCTGAGAGTTGGCTTCTGGATAACAGTGAGATTTTTGTTTGTTTCAAACGGCTTTATTTCCTTTGTGATTACATGCAGGTGTGTGGTTATGTGAGCGTGAATACTATCACCTAAGAAGTCCAGAAGAAACTGTTGGATCTCCAGAAGCTGGAGTTAAAGGATGTTCTAAGCTTCCCAGTGTGGGTGCTGGGAACTGAACTTGGGTCCTTTGTAAGAACAGTGAGCACTCTTCACTGCTGAACCATCTTACTAGGCCCCTAGACATCTGGTTTATTTTCAAATACAAATCAGAGTGGTTTATACTATCCAAACCCTTGTCTGTCGTGGATTCTCTATATCAAAGATAGCATTTAAAGCAACTGGGCAATGAACTCTCTGACATCGAGACCATTTATCAGATGCATTTAAAGGGCTGTAACTTAAGACTTGGAAGCTCCTACCTCTATATGTTTCATTGTCGTGAGCAAGTAAAAGATTAATGGAGTAGATCTGCTTCTCTTAGTGGTCCGAAGACTGAAAATGAGGTGCCCTGTAAATCGGCAGTTAGATGAATGTGTAGCAAATCTGTAAGAGGATGCTAGTCTCAGTAGCTTGCTGACAAAAAGGGAAATAGTAATCAGCTCAAAGTAAGTAGCCAGAGAAGGTGTTTCCTCCCTCCCTTTCTCCCTCCCTCTCTCCCTCCCTCTTTCCTTTCTTCCTTCCTCTCCTCTCCCTCCCTCCTTCCCACACCCTCCCTCTTTCTTCCCTTTCTTCCCTCCTTCCCCGTCCCTCCCTCCTTCCCTCTCTCCCTCCTCCTCTCTTTTTCTTTCCTTCCTCCCTCCCTCCCTTCCTCCCTTCCTTCCTTCTTTCCTTCCTTCCTCCTTAGTGTATTTTCCTGTTGCTAGCCTAAAGTACTTTAACAAAAGCAACTCAAAATGGAAGGATTTATGTCAGCTCACAGTTCATCACGTTGGTGAAGTCAAGGCAGCTGGAACATCACACCCACAATCAGGAACCTGAGAACCATGAATGCGTGCTGGTGTTCTGCACTCTGTCTTCACTTAGAGAGCAAATGGCCACCTTAAAGAGTGTCTCCACACCTCAACACAATCAAGGTAATCCCCCCACAGGTGAGCCTTGAGGCCCATCTTGCATGCAATTACATATTTTTGCCAAGTTGGTAATTAATCTAAGGATCATGGTTTCCTTCTCTCTACTATACGTGCCCCCTTTTTGTGACAGAGTTTCATGTAGCCAAGTCTGACTTTGAATTCCTGATCCTCCTGCCTCAGTCTCTTGAGTACTAGGATTCTGGACTATAACGCCATGCTCAGCTACATCAGATGTTTTCAATAAGATTGAAAGACAAGGAGAATGATGAGAATCCCAGCAGAGGCTTGAAACATTATGGCAGGGTTAGGAAACAGTGAATTTTATGTATGATGGGAGCCTTGAGAGCACCTAGGGGACCGTGAGAATTCACGACCCAAGGACGTATGTGCACATGCATATGTAGGCAGTTTTCCTGTCCCAACCACCTGTTCCCAAATAACCATCAGCCACTTCCCAAATAACTGACTCAGACACTTAATATAAATTATAAATGCTCAGTTGATAGCTCAGGCTTGTTAATGTCATCCCATCATTCTCCTAGTTTGGTTGTCACTCTTATAATTCTTGCATGGATACCAGTCAATCAGAATTTTATTAAACTAATGTGAGTGATAAATCTTTACAGTGTACAAGCGTATTATTCCACAGCACAATATTTATATTTTAATATTTTATTCTTTTAAGTACATGTATTTAAAGATCAAATTATGTTAAGAAGGGTACATTATTTGAAAAATTCTGCACACTTAATGATTGAAAACAACATAAATTTATTATCTCAATTGTTCTGAGGCATGAAATACTGGCCACACCTTAAGTGAATCCTCTGCTCAGAGGCATTCTGTGTGAATCTCCTATTCCACTGATTTACATGTCCATTTATTTCAAAAGTACCCTATCTGTGACAATTTCATCAATGTGTATAGTGCATTCCGGTCAATGGATCTCTCATCTTCCTCTGTCCCAATCCCTGCTGCCATCTTCCAAGTGTTACCATTCCACTTCCTCATCTTTGAGTTTGTTTTGTGTTGTGACCAACTGAGTAAACCATGGGCACGGGAGTCAAGCTCCCCTTGGAGCATGAAAGGCCCACTAACAGCTACATCACTGGAGAAGATGACTTCCTCTCCTGCAGCAGCCCTCTACATCCTTTAACTTCCCTTGGCAGGACCCCCTTGAGCCCTACAGATATTTACAACTGAATGTTTACT